TCTCTTCTTTTTTTTTTCTTCTTCTTCTTCTTCTTTTCAGGGCCTTTTTCTTTTTGGTTAATCACTAATCTAACGTTTCCAAAAACAAACTTTATTCCATTCATCATACCCTAGTTGAAAACCAGGGTCCACGTTTAATTTCTTCATGTGAAGCACACTCCAATTGTTGAAAAAAGTGCTTTCTTGTCCCACAATTCTGCATAAACCAGGATTTGATAAAGAGTTTATTGTACTCATAATATAGAAAACAAATCAAGGAAAGATTAGCAAATTATTATGACTCCATGTTGCACCTTATGACTTGTATTTATCCGTTGAGACATGTTTCCCTTTTGCTTTTGTTTGGTGTCGGCCGGGCGGATCTAATGCAACTGTTAAAGTTCACGTGAATCCAGTAACTTTTGTTTAGATCTTGTATTTATATTAAAAAGTTCATTAAATATATAAGAATATTTAGTTTGGAATCCAATTTCGTTGGTTCGTTGTAGGAACTCATAAACTAATATTCTGAATTCGCCTTCGGTGTTGCAATAGTTTGCCCAACTTAAAACTTCACCTCCTTTTCTTTTTGAAGATTGTGTTCGTTTTAAAGAAGCTTGTGGATCTTATTCTCAGCAGCAACTTTCTGTACTACCGGAATGGTACTATTAATACTACCTCTGGTCCATATTGATTATCTGTTTCTGAATTGATTAATAATAAGAATATTTTTCTAAATTACGTACATCTCATCTAATACAATTAACAATAATCCTCTAAATCCAGGAATAATGATAGGATAGCAAAAATAACTTCTTATTTTCCTAAAACGTGAAATATTTTTTAACAAATTCAGCATGCCAAACGACTAATTATTGGATTTTAAAGGAGTAAGATTTAGGTTATATTTACTGATAGTGCAAAAAGAACTAGACACCTCCAAATGTATTATAACATGTAATAGCAAGTTAATTTTTTAAAAATGAGTTGCTTGCTATTATCTATTAAGTAACTTAATTTAGTGCATAGATTTGGTATTACATGTTATTAGAATAGTCTATTCCATAGACTATTAATCGTGCTATGTAAACTTTTGAACAGATACCAAATTGTGTCATTTAATTTTGACTAAAAGTGGTCTGTCACGCACTATAGTTGAATAGTCTATTCCGTAGCTTAACGAGGGATGTTAACTTGAATCTTGAAATGCTTTCCCGCATTACTTATACACCAATTTGTGGGGCAAATATAAACATATAAAGAAATAGGAATTTTTATAGCCGACATCTAAAATAATATATGAGAAATATTTTTTTTGTATATTAATGTATAATATAAATTTTATATACATATGTTATGCATAATTAGTACTTATATACTTTTTTATATTAGGTAATAGCGGTTGTAATTATTTTTTGCTGACCAGCCAACTGCTTTAAAAGTCGGAATAAGTAAGAAATCTAATTAGGATTCTAAAAAAAAACTTTGAATCTATCTCAACCCTACTAACTCAAATGGCGAGAACTGTCCAAAAATATCTTAAGAGACAAATTGCCATCCAAATACCGATATGGGCCTACTATCACTCCATGGCCATACCTCTAGGGAAATGACACGAGGAAATAACGATAATACTGTAATAATATTATTTGTGAGCAGATATACAAATTAACTTGAGTCGTGCTGGGCACTGTCCTAAAAAACTATTTCAGCAATGTAAAATATTTTTCCAGAATTAAACAAGCCTACCTCTATTTAAGAGGATACAAGAATCAGCAAAATATTACTAATAAATCCAGCAAGTTGGAAGAGAAAGAGCAACTAATATCTTATGCCAATTAAAATATTATAGAAGAAGATATTTTGAAGGAGAAGGACGTATAAGAGGGAAAGAAGATATAAGAATTTCTTCTTTTGCTAATTATTAGCTTTTCTTGGTGTTTTAAATGATTGAAGAATGATGGCCTAATCATGGCTATATATAGGCCTAAGGAAAGCTTCGGCACAAGACAAGTGTTTTACTTACTCGTCAAATTTTCTTCATGCAAGATGCCAAAACATTTCATGCAAAATGACACTTGGTTTAGTAATGCCATTTGTCAAACAATCTTTTAAAAGAATGCCACATGTAAAAACTCTTTCCATGTACCAATTATTTAAGAGTATTTGGCCACAAGGCTTCATACAAGAAGCCACTTAAAAATAGATAGGACACTTGAAAAATTAAAAAGACACATGGCTATTTAAAATTTTGAAAATACTACCACAATCCCCATATATTTTCAAAATTTATAGGAAAAAGATAAAGGAATGGAAGAATTAACTTGCTGGATTTGCATGGTCCAAATGTAATGGGTTTGGTGTCTTCAGGACTATGAACCAAACTTAGACCAATAAAACTTAACTCATAGAATTACTGGTGAAATATAATATTTCTATGAACCAATAATTCTTACTGTAAGTCAGAGATTTTATCAATCACATTTCGACCCTCATAATTTTGTTGTTCAATATGGTTTTGCGCCACTAGGCCATGCGCGTGCCTGGTTATTCATGAGAGTTCTAGAGACTAGGCTAAAATCTCATAGGAGCGGCCCCACTCCACTCTCATATAGGTGAATTCCTCAAGTGTATATTGCTTTTAAATACACCATCCATAAGGACTATGGATTTCATTAAGAGTTATAACTCATCCTCTCAATTAGTAGCAGTTAAGCACTCTCTTTTAGTGTTTGAGTGTCAATATCGATTTGTTATTACCCATATGAACCTACTTCATGGGATCTCCAATCACATAGGTTGGGTTACCATCTCAACTGACAACATGTCGGCCTTAACACCATCTCTTTAGAGGTTTGAAGAATTGATTTTCTTCCCAATGGTTTAGTCAGAGGATCGTCCAAATTAACTTCTGACTTCACATAATGAATGGAGATTATTCCATTTCTCAGCAGCTGATTTATGATATCATGTCTTGATTTCATGTATCTACTTTTACAATTAAAAGATTTATTCTTTGTCATAGCTATTGCCGCTTGACAATCGCAATGCATAAACACATGAGGCAATACGTCATTTATTAAAAGGATATTAGTTAAGAAGTTTCTTAACCACTCAGCCTCAGAACCAGCTAACTCCAGAGCTACAAACTCCGATTCCATAGTCGATCTAGCAATGATCGTCTGTTTTTTCTCCTTTCTCAACTTGGGTATACGACACAAATATATTTTTGTCTGCAAAAATGTGCCTAGTAGCACCGAAGTCTATCACCCAATTCTCACATTGGCCACATTATTTATTTGGGAAATGACCGCAATAATTATATAATCCGCTTTAGTCAAATTTAATTTTAACTTAGCGAGATTGTCATTTATCCCAACTATTCTCTTGCATTGAGGTGCATTTTCTTGAAGGTTTTAATATTAGCATTGGATATGTAACCGTGTCTATTCACATACATGTATTTTGACATTAGTGTCTGCCAAAGTTGTGGATGCAATAACGTATTTTCAACACCGTGGATATCTTGCATAACAGCTGAAACAGTAGCAGCGGAGACAATACCAAAATTGGTAGCACCATCAAAAATTTCCGTAGTGGTATTACTTGACGTAGTTTTTTAGATTGTAGGGAAATGACACGAGGAAATAACGATAATACTGCAATAATATTATTTGTGAGCATATACACGAATTGGCTTGAGTCGTGCTGAGCACTGTCCTAAAAAAATATTTCAGCAATGTGAAATATTTCCCCAGAATTAAACAAGCCTACCTCTATTTAAGAGAATACATGAATCAGCAAAATATTAATAATAAATTCAGCAAGTTGGAAGAGAAAGAACAACTAATATCTTATGCCAATTAAAATATTATAGCAAAAGATATTTTGAAGAAGAAGGACGTATAAGATGGAAAGAAGATAGAAGAATTTATAGGCCTAAGGAAAGTTTCTGCACAAGACAAGTGTTTTACTTACTTGTCAAATTTTCTTCATGCAAGATGCCACAACATTTCATGCAAAATGACACTTGGCTTAGTAAGGCCATTTGTCAAACAATCTTTTAAAAGAATGCCATATGTAAAAACTCTTGCTATGTACAAATTATTTAAGAGTATTTGGCCACAAGGCTTCATGCAAGAAGCCATTTGAAAATAGATAGGACACTTGTAAAATCAAAAAGACATGACTATTTATAATTTTAAAAATACTACCACAATACCTATCAACTAGAGCGTGGATAAAATAATACGTGAGCGCAACATCGAATTGGAACAATAAATTTGTGTTCTTCAAATTTCCTTTTTTCCCCTCCTTCTGTACAATGAATTAGTACTGCATGCGCAAAAATGGGCCAGCAATGGAGCAATTGTCGTAGATTTAGTACTTTCAACGTGGGCCGGCCTGCTAATCGTGAGTCATGAATAAATCTGGATGTTTTAGGATCAATACTATATCTAAAATTCTAATAAGGGAAATAAAACCTCTTAAGTTCAACTTTTATCTAATTATGGAGTGATCCCAATATATACCTGTTATTACTATTTTGGTGCTACTCACTCCATTCCCTCCCCCTTTTTTTTACCCCCTGTTTCTACCTTTTTCTTCTTTTTCTCTCCCTCTTGTTCTTATTCTTTCTTCTCCTCCCTACTTTCGTGAGCCGATGGTGTATTGGAAACAGTCTCTCTACCTTCACTAGGTAACGGTAAGGTGTACACACTAGCTTTTCCATACCCCAAGTATGAAAATATACTGGGTATGTTGTTGTTGTAAGTGATCCCAATATATCAACTTTATTACTGATGAGAAGGAATGAAGTTGAAAACAGAAAATTTGGCAAAAGACATATCCTCTCAACAACAATAACAAACCCAGTGAAATCCACATGTGGAGAATGAGGATGGTAGTGTGTACGCAGACCTTACCCTACCTTATGAAAATAACGAGGCTGTTTACGATAGATGCTCGGCTCAAGAAAAAAATGCAAAAGGGAACAGTAACACAGACAACGACAAGATGTGTTAATAAAAGACATACCTCTATTATCTGTCAATCAACAATTCAAAATGTGTCTTTTCCAAGAAATTAGTACATAAGAAAAATGTCAATTCATCCAACATAGATAAATTGCCATTTGCCATTTGCAAGAGGCAATTTGATAAAAAACAAACATTAAGATGAAAATAAAAGGGGAAAAAACGACTAGAAAAAAGAAAGAAAGTCAAGAACTTAATTCATTAATAATTGTTCTCTTTGCCTTCATCATCAGACTCCAAATTATCATCATTAGTATCAGGTTCATCACACATGGGAGTTGTGTAGTAGAAAGGACCAAGCACATATTTGAGCAAATCCCTGTAAATCACCGTCGGACGGTGAAGCTTTATACCGGACTTTCCTCCGGCGAAGTCAGTGGCAATGTTACAAACAGGATCAGGTGAAGAAACCAATCTCAAAAAGCAATTTTGAGGTTTAATGGTTTTGCCATGACAAGTTGTGTTTGCAATCAAGTCAAATTTTCCAGCTTCATCTGTGAGGTCACTTCCATAATACATTACTCTTCTCCTCTCATCTAGGCATGTAAGTGATACTATACTACCTGCACAACGTATTCAAGATTTTGAATCAGTGAGTTCGGAATAAATGTAATCTTACTCTATGTAGTTGTTATCAAAGACTCATTTGAGACATACTTAAGTCCTAAAGCTCCAAAAATCACTGGGTATGCGCTTCCCCTCACTTAGGCAGCGTTCAACGTAGGCAAGACACTAATAGGTGCATCTCATTGCCCATAAGTTCTATTTTGAATAGAGCAGGTATAAAACAATAAATATGATTGACAAAAAATATATATTATTATTTATAAAGAAAATCATTATGAATGAAATTGTTACTTATTTCTTGCATTACATATTTATGTTTATTTTTTTCTTCATTGCGCCATTTTCTGAACTAAAGTTCACACTTTAATTGCGCTTTTTGCTTAAAGCCCCGATAGACTTGGAGCGCTTTTTAACGCTTTTCGCCTTTGATAACATTGACTATATTTATATGCATTTTAAATATCTTTGCATATGTATAATAGTTCAAGCAAAAAATTAGTGACTTCAACTAGACTTATATAACACATTCTTAATTTGCCTCTACGTGAATTGTACCTCATTTGTAAACCTAGTTACCTTGTAAAACCTTTGCTAAGGTACGTAGAAGTAAGAACCTATTTTATATAGATACAAACCATCACATTATTTTTAAATTTTTTTTAAAAAACCCTTTCTAAACCATTTGCTAAAGGAATATATATACATTTGGCACTCCCTAACTTTGTTGCAAAACATTCTTTAAACCCCAGTTTAGATAATTTTCGTCCTCGATAGTCACAAGCAGTGGCGGAGCAACCTTAGGTTCAGGGTTGTCAAATTGACACCCCTTTGCTCAATAATAAATGGAGGCGGGTTCTTTTTTTACTTCGTTATATTTTGATACCCTTTATTAAAATTTCTGGCTTCACCATTGGTCACAAAGTTCATCATTATGGAGAAGTTGATGTTAAATTACAAGCGGCGGATTCAATCAATTGATTCGTGAGTTCGTTAGAATCAGTGCTACGGGATTGAACATTACATATATGTGTTAAAATAAGTATAGATGGAGTTAGATAAATATATTTTAGGACCTATCTCTCAATTCAGAACCAATAACGTCTAAATTCTGGATTTTGTCAGTGTAAAATTGTAAATTGCATACCTTTGATGGGTTTGGCACCATCAACCCATTCATTCCAACCCTGAGTACAGTCTTGGCAAAGAACTTTGCCAGCAACATGTATTACATCCATTCCTTCAAAGGCTTCTGCAACGTTCATGAAATTAGAAAACACCAAGAATAAAGCTGCAGCAATCACCATGAAATTAACAGCCTTCATCTTCATTTCTCTCAGGAATTAATATTTGTCAAAAGAAAAAATGGAGCTAATTAATTGCTATAACTAGAAGAAAACATGTTCATGAATTTATAGAAATGTTAAAGTGTTTTTGACTAAGAGGTATGTAATAGAAATTGGAAGGTTACTACCTATGACGTGCAAACCATAATTTCGCATTACACCTAAAGGCTTCTTTGTTGTCTAGTAATAATGTAATATCATACCTAACAGGAATTATTATAATATTTTAGAGGAAAATAATGTCTCTAAGATATTTGGCTTGGAGAGAGCATTTGTTTTTTAAATTTTCTGATTCAGCACTATAATAATTTTTGTTTGATAATAATTAGGATTATCGATACCACAAAAATAAAAAATAATGAACTCACACGAAAAGAATAAATCAAGAGTGACTCTCACGTTCTTAATTAGTCAACCATTTTTTATTTGGCTGAGGTGAACATGAGAAGGAGAGCTTATGATTCTGTTTAATTGATTTATTCTTTTTATGATTCTAGTTTATTTGAATTGGATAAGTTGGTTATGACCTATTGTGTAGCTCAAATTAATCTATAAATCTAGACCCATCAAACATTGGATGAGTTATATCATCGAATTTGGACCCGAAATAAAAGGTTCGATAACTTTGTTTACCCGAAAAACGGATAGAGTTGAATTTATACGTAGTTCTAAGGATACATAATATGATTTGATACAAAGGCGAAAAAATTAGATTAACGTAAAAATGAGCAATAAAAAGATAGATACAACCTTCGCAAATTGAGCAAAGCTTGAGCCTTATGAGATTAATTTCTCTTTAGCCAATAATAATGAAATTTGGAGAGACAAAGAAAAAAATGAATGAAAGCTAACAGTATATTACTTATGAGTGTATTACCGTCCCTATCAATAACTTGGTCTCTTCTATTTATAGGGGGAAATTTCCCTTTTTTGGCATTATTCTATAGAAAAGCATGGGCCTTTCTGACCGTTGGCCACCTTCTCCACTAATACCGTGATTTATGCAATAATAATCAGTTAGTGGCAAAAGTTATGGACCCTTGTCGGCTGAGTTGGCGGAGCTTTCTCCGAGGCCATTAAGAACGGAACTGGTTACGTCTTCGACAAACTCGAAGGCAGGTCTGATGGTCTTGATGACTCGCTTCGATAACACTTTTGATTCCGATCTCGGCCGATCATGTCGGATCTCTAAACTTCGATATTTGGACCGGTTTCACTCGTGACTTCTATTCTCATTCAATCGTCGTTCCAGAAGCTTGGTCAAGCCTCGATTTCGGTCGAGCATCGAGCTCGGTTTTACCCATATACAGATAGTCCCCTTGTTTTTTGGAGAGTAAATGACAAAAAATGATATGAGACCTCGATCTTTACTTTCAAATCTACTTTACTCTTATCTTCCAATCCTTCGTCTTCTTCAAAGCTTGTATTTCTTGTTTCTTCGCCTGAGAGCTCGAGTGAATCTGAAAGTGAAAAAGACCCCGAGGGCGGAGATGCTGCTCCCGAAGATGAAGGTGACCAGGCCCCTTAGGCTTTTAAACAAGTTTGTATTTCTGTTGGGGCCATTTCGGCCATTGTAAAGAACTTTCATTGGTCCGTTCCGCTCTTGTAAAAAGTTTTTGATGAATATATAAAACCTTTTCCCTTCCATGGATTCTGAATCTTTTGTCTTTTTGTTGATTTGTTCAAAGGTCAAAGCGCCTTAGCATAAAATTATGAAGTTGTATTCGAAGGTCCAAGGTTGAGATGGTAAGGATTGATAGTAAGTACTGCCCTCGACCGCTTCTGATTGGTAATCTTTGAGTGAATATTCGAACTCGAATTAAGGTAGCCCTTAGGCTTAATACGTAGTCCAGATTCGTGGTAATAATTCGATCTTGAATTGAGGCGACCCTTGGGCTTGATAGATAGTCCCCGGGTGAGAATGGTTACTCGAACTCGAGTTAGGGTAGCCCTTAGGATTTATAGTCGAGTGAGGATTTTCTCGAACTCGAAATAAGAGTAGCTCTTAGGCTTAATGGTCGAGTGAGAACTTGCTCAAACTCGAAATAAGGTAGTCGTTAGGCTATAAGATCGAGTGAGGACTTGCTCGAACTCGAGATAAGGTAGCCCTTGGGCTTTGTAGTCGAGTGAGAATAATTTCTCGAACTCGAAGTAATGGTAGCCCTTGGGCTCGATAGATAGTCCCCGAGTGAGAATGGTTGCTCGAACTCGAGTCAGGGTAGCCCTTAGGTTTTACGGTCGAGTGAGGATTTGCTCGAACTCGAAATAAGTTAGCCCTTGGGCTTTAGCAATCGAGTGAGGATTTGCTCGAACACGAAGTATTGCAGCCCTTAGGCTTTGTAGTCGAGTGAGAATGATTTCTCGAACTCAAAGTAATGGTAACCCTTGGGCTCGATAAATAGTCCCCGAGTGAGAATGATTGCTCGAACTCGAGTCAGGGTAGCCCTTAGGCTTTATAGTCGAGTGAGGATTTGCTCGAACTCGAAATAAGAGTAGCCCTTGGGCTTTAGCAGTCGAGTGAGGATTTGTTCGAACTCGAAGTATTGTAGCCCTTAAGCTTTGTAGTCGAGTGAGAATGATTTCTTGAACTCGAAGTAATGGTAGCCCTTGGGCTCGATAGATAGTCCCCGAGTGAGAATGATTGCTCGAACTCGAGTCAGGGTAGTCCTTAGGCTTTATAGTCGAGTGAGGATTTTCTCGAACTTGAAATAAGAGTAGCCCTTAATCTTAATGGTCGAGTGAGGACTTGCCCGAACTCGAAATAAGGTAGTTCTTAGGCTTTAAGATCGAGTGAGGACTTGCTCGAACTCGAGATAAGGTATCCCTTGGGCTTTGCAGTCGAGTGAGAATGATTTCTCGAACTCGAAGTAATGGTAGCCCTTGGGCTTTGTAGTCGAGTGAGAATGATTTCTCGAACTCGAGTCANTGCAGCCCTTAGGCTTTGTAGTCGAGTGAGAATGATTTCTCGAACTCAAAGTAATGGTAACCCTTGGGCTCGATAAATAGTCCCCGAGTGAGAATGATTGCTCGAACTCGAGTCAGGGTAGCCCTTAGGCTTTATGGTCGAGTGAGGATTTGCTCGAACTCGAAATAAGATTAGCCCTTAGGCTTAATGGTCGAGTGAGGACTTGCTCGAACTCGAAATAAGGTAGCCCTTGTCTTTGTAGTCGAATGAGAATGATTTCTCGAACTCGAAGTAATGGTAGCCTTTGGGCTCGATAGATAGTCCCCGAGTGAGAATGGTTGCTCGAACTTGAGTCAGGGTAGTCCTTAGGCTTTATAGTCGAGTGAGGATTTGCTCGAACTCGAAATAAGAGTAGCCCTTAGTCTTAGTGGTTGAGTGAGGACTTACTCGAACTCGAAATAAGGTAGCCCTTGGGCTTTATAGTCTAGTGAGAATGATTTCTCGAACTCGATGTAATGGTAGCCCTTGAGCTCGATATAGAAATCGGATGCAATAAATTCTTGGAGGGACCTCTTTTTATTCTTGTGTGAAATAATCTTACATGCGTACATGTTTTATGCTTAAGGCTTGAGAAATCTACGGGGGCGCGGTTCATTTGACCGTTTGGCCCATACAATAATCTTGTCTTCTCGAGGACCTTTTAACGTGAATATTTTTCTTTGCTGCAGCTGATATCCGAGGGTGATGCCCCCCTAGTATTCGAGGTTGATCAGGTAGAGAAGCCTCAGATACTGATGACGCAAAATTTAATACCGAACCGTTGTTCTAAGTTAGCATGATCCACTGTCGTCACCCTCGAGTTGGTTACCTACAATTGTTAGTTCTGAAGCATCAAAAAGAGAAACGAACGGGGGTCATACCTCAGAAGTAGTATCTCCTTTAGGTGAGTTACATTTCATTTGTTAGGCCCGATAGCCTTGGTGCTTCTTTAGGCCTGATGGGCCTGTCGAAGTCATTTTTGGTCATGACCCCTGATTATTTCGACCTTGATCATTTCTTCTCTCGTTTCTCACATGGTTCCGACCGGGTCCGCTGCTCCTCCCATCTTCATTATATGGATGATATCGATCCCTTCTTGACCCTGGCTCGCGATCAGTGTCTCTCTTGGTTCTTTCAAGGTTCCTAGCTGGATAAATAGACTCCGAAGGGATTCGGAACTGACCATCTTCGACTTTGATTTTCGATTCATACCGATTGTGCATATCAGCCCATGTAGTGGCAGAGTATTCTATTAAGTTTTTCTTTAATTGTCGTGAAGCCATCGAGCTTCGTTTGTTCAGTACTTGGGTGAAAGCTTGAACGGCCCAATTATCCGTGACCGGTGGTAGATCCATTCGTTCCATTTGAAAACGAGATACGATCTCCCTTAGTATCTCGTTATCTTTTTGCCTTACCTTGAAAAGGTTTGACTTCCTGGTTTTGACCTTTATGGCTCCGGCATGTGCTTTTATGAAATAATCTGCAAGCATAGCAAAAGAATCGATAGAGTTAGGCGCTAAATTATGATACCATATCATCTCTCCCTTTGAAAAGGTTTCACCGAACTTCTTTAATAATACAGATTCAATTTCGTCATTTTCTAGATCGTTCCCTTTGATGGCGCATATGTAAGAGGTGATATGTTCGTTGGGGTCGGTCGTTCCATTATATTTAGGTATTTCGGGCATGCGGAACTTCTTGGGGATTGATTTTGGAGCCGCGCTCGGGGGGAAAGGCTTTTGTACGAATTGTTTGGAATCCAAGCCCTTCAATATTGGTGGTGCCCCCGGGATCAGATCAACCATGCAGTTATAAGTTTCCATTTTTTTGTCATTTGCTTCAATCCACCTTTCTCCTGACTCTATTCGTTTTGTCAGTTTCTCGAGCATCTTAATAATTTTGGGATTAGTCCCCGATTCTTGTTCATTTGATCTTACTATAGCTAGGCCCGTTTCGTGGGTGATTTCTCGGGATGGACCGAGCTTGGACCTGCTTGGTGCCTTGGTTTGGCTCTACAACTGAGCTATTGTTACCTGTTGAGCTTGTAACATTTCGAAAATTATATGCAGGTTGATCCCGTCTTCTCTAATATTTTGGGTATTTCG